CAGCAGACGTTACGGCCAACACTACAGGTCGCAGACAACGCAGCAGACGTTACGGCCAACACTACAGGTCGCAGACAACGCAGCAGACGTTACGGCCAACACTACAGGTCGCAGACAACACAGCAGACGTTACGGCCAACACTACAGGTCGCAGACAACACAGCAAGCGTTACGGCCAACACTACAGGTCGCAGACAACACAGCAGACGTTACGGCCAACACTACAGGTCGCAGACAACATAGCAAACGTTCCGTGTAAGACCGGCAGTAGGCCATTATTTTTCAAATCCATTTCTTTATTGAATGCACGAGATCTAAATCCCGGAGCTGGAAACACACAGAAATCCCTGAATGTAACATTGATTTTTCTTGGTCCATCCTATGCTGAGTTTACATTAATCGTAGAGGAATAAACCTTGAAGCAAGCATATGCAGATATTTAAAAAAGTTTACATTTTGTTGCACTGAACAAGAGAACCGAGGTAAAATGAAGAGAACATGCTCAAAAGTTCCGACTCACAGGATGAGGCTCGTGATCGTAGCTTTTCTTCATAGCGGCGGTGAGCTTCCAGGAGCTGATGTGCCTGAACTCTTCCCCTGGCAGGGACGACACTCCTGACACCGACGGTCTGTGCGGGCGCACCTTCGTGCGGTGGTAGGCTGCCGCGTCGTCGAATCTGTGACCTGAAAATAAACCAGTCAAGAAAGAGCGTTAAGGCAAGATGTGTAGACTTGAATTGGGTATCAATACATAAAATGAATCCAAAAGTCAAACTTGACATATGTGTAATAAAACAAAGCCAACCAAGATGCACTTTGAGGCGAGACTATATTTTGGCTCAAAATTTTAGAGAAAATAATGCCGATTTTAAGTAAATACGCTATGTAATTTAATTTTGATTTTAATATTTTAAACACACAAAATAGCCAAAACCCACATTATTTTAGCTCAAAAATTTAGAGAAAATAATGCTGATTACATAGCAGACAGAATATACCCCTAACTTACGACTGACCAACTGTAGAAAATGACAATTACGACAATTTTACGACTGAAAATTTTGAGTAGAAAATGCAGGTTAATAAACAAATAATAAATCTGTCTCCGTTAAGGACGTTGTCGTCCGTTGGGACAAACGCTTGAATGACTCGCTTACGTTGTCGTCCGTTGCCATAAAAGCTTGAGTGACTCAGTGACTTTTGTTGTTGCGGTGCCACTAGGAAAGAGTGGAAGAAACAAGAGGTAGCACAGTTTGGCCAGAAAGAGGAAGGAGAAATGCATGACAGTGGGAGATGAAAAGGCGCATTGCGCATGATTGGGTGGGTTGTAGGTGAGAGGGGTTTGTTTGGGGTTGGGAAGGGGGTTGGTAACCTGTCAGGACTTTGTATTGTTTAAGCGGGTGGGTGATGAGAGGGTGGTGGCTCTTTATTTACATTATTTTCATTTTTTGAGCATATTTAAACAAATAGAAAAATGATTCTTGCTCTTACTATTTACACGAGTCTTCGCTCTTTTCGGTATTTTTATCTATTATTATTTTTGGATGGCGTGTGTGACTTGGATGGCGTGTGTTGTTTTGAGACCAGTTACACTCAAAAGTAATAAGAACAGCTCCGTCCGGGTGCAGCATGGTCCGATGTGTATATATTTGTACAGAGGTGGAGGTGCGGGACTCAGTGAGAGTACTTTGGAGCTATGGAATAACCGGTGCTGCCTTGCTATGGTGTGTGGGGGGAAACTGCCACTTAGTGCCATGCCACCAAGCTACCATCACTGCCACTTAGTGCCATGCCACCAAGCTACCATCACTGCCACTTAGTGCCATGCCACCAACACGTTGAAGGCGGTGTACAAATTCCGCGATTTATTTGATTTTTTTATCAGTTGCGTTCACCGTCAAAAATTTATCATGTAGGTAATTCCTTATCTAATTTTAAAAAAGTCCAAAAAAATTTAATTTTTGTGCCGGAACCAACAAATTTATTAGTAAATTTTGAATTATATGCATTTTTGGCCTTTTTTTTTTTGTCCGGGGACTTGGCCGTTTTTAGGCCATCCAGTTGCCCTGGTAAGTGGCAAGTGGCATCGCACTCAGCGTACAAGTCGCCACGCAGCAGACACAGCACATACCTCGCCACCCGTCACTAAAAACCGTATACGACTAATTAGAGCTACGATTTGTAAAGGTTAGATTAACATAAAATAACTATGAAACTGTTTAGATTGCGGTAGAAGCCTAAAATCTATTGCATCTATTTAATACCATCCTTTCGACCAATATAATGTCATTCCTTGTACTTAGGCGATGCCATCTTTGCCACAAATACAACACCATGTCTTACACCTATATTTTACCATCTTTACCACCTATATAATACCATCTTTACCATGCACCTTGATGATACCATCCCTTATACCCAGGTGATGGTGATACCATCTTTACCACCTATATAATACCATCACTCGCGCCTATATAATTCCATCTTTACCATGTACCTTGATAATACCACCTCTTATACCCAGGTGATGGTGATACCATCTTTACCACCTATATTAATGCCCCCATTCCGCCTAATCCTATACCCTATCTCGCACCACTATCAAATAATAGAAAATAACACGTAACCACGATATACACCAATTATGTGTATATTATAACTATGATAATAATAGTCTAGTAGTATATTATTATTATTGTTTATAGCGCACACTAATAATAAGTATATCATAACTATCGTAATAATAGTCTAGTAACATATTTTTGTTGTTTGCAGCGCACACTAGTACACTAGTTATAAGTATATCATAACTATAATAATAATAGTCTAGTAACACATTATTGTTGTTGTTTGCAGCACAAATCGAGATCATCCCATGCAAGGTGTGCGGGGACAAGAGCTCCGGGGTGCACTACGGGGTGATAACGTGCGAGGGATGCAAGGGCTTCTTCCGGCGCTCGCAGTCGTCGGTGGTGAACTACCAGTGCCCCCGCCAGAAGAACTGCGTCGTCGACAGGGTCAACAGGAACCGCTGCCAGTACTGCAGGCTGCAGAAGTGTCTGCAACTCGGCATGTCCAGGGACGGTGAGTTGTGGGTGCGAAACTTGGCACAGGGTCAACAGGAACCGCTGCCAGTACTGCAGGCTACAGAAGTGTCTCCAGCTCGGCATGTCCAGGGACGGTGAGTTGTGGGTGCGAAACTTGGCACAGGGTCAACAGGAACCGCTGCCAGTACTGCAGGCTACAGAAGTGTCTCCAGCTCGGCATGTCCAGGGACGGTGAGTTGTGGGTGCGAAACTTGGCACANATTTAAGCTGTTTATGGAAAATGGCGCCATGCGCTCGGTTATGTAACTACTACTTAATATGCCATTTTTTCGAATGTCTTCATCTGTTGGATGGCGTGTTGTGTTTGTAGCGTCCTGTGGTTATTTGTGTTACCTATATCGTCTGCGAATGCTATGTAATCTGTGTTGGGTAGTGGTGATGAGGAGGGTAGTGGTGATGAGGAGGGTAGTGGTGATGAGGAGGGTAGTGGTGATGAGGAGGGTAGGGGTAATGAGGAGGGTAGGGGTAATGAGGAGGGTAGGGGTGATGAGGAGGGTAGTGGTGATGAGGAGGGTAGTGGTGATGAGGAGGGTAGTGGTGATGAGGAGGGTAGTGGTGATGAGAGGTCATGTGTATAAAAACTTTGCGATGTCCGTTGGCACAAACGCTTGAGTGACCCACTTACGATGTCGTCCGTTGGCACAAACGCTTGAGTGACCCACTTACGATGTCGTCCGTTGGTACAAACGCTTGAGTGACCCACTTACGATGTCGTCCGTTGGCACAAACGCTTGAGTGACCCACTTACGATGTCGTCCGTTGGCACAAACGCTTGAGTGACCCACTTACGATGTCGTCCGTTGGCACAAACGCTTGAGTGACCCACTTACGATGTCGTCCGTTGGCACAAACGCTTGAGTGACCCACTTACGATGTCGTCCGTTGGTACAAACGCTTGAGTGACCCACTTACGATGTCGTCCGTTGGCACAAACGCTTGAGTGACCCACTTACGATGTCGTCCGTTGGTACAAACGCTTGAGTGACCCACTTACGATGTCGTCCGTTGGCACAAACGCTTGAGTGACTCACTTGCGATGTCGTCCGTTGGCACAAACGCTTGAGTGACTCACTTGCGATGTCGTCCGTGTGCTTGGGGCCGAGCTGTGCCGCCTCCTCTACAGGTATAGACGACTCGGTGCCCGGGTATTGCACCAGGGTGTGCTGGTTGCCAGGATGCTGCCGGACCCGATATCCGGGTCTTCTGCTAGCATAAGAAAGATATCTATAATATGTTTATGTGGTCATGTCAAACAGTTAGCCAGACCGTCGAAATAATACGATAACGTTATTTATTACAATTAGATTGTCAAATGTAACGAGTACTGCAGTGTCATTATTGTGTATTTACCTAAACGTTTAGATTAGCCAACGTCTGCACAAGGCGTAAGCAAAGATGAGGGGGACACATTTTTAACAGTGCTATTTATAGAGAAGTATACATATATATGGCCACATGTAAGTTTCAACTAAATATACATTAAATATTGAAAGATAAAATATCGAGCAGCGATTCCTCTTAAAAATAAACTTCTTGAAGTTTGTAATGTATTGATAATCCTAAATCAATTTGCAGTAATATGGTAACGACCTGCATCTGCCAAGAGAGGATACAAAAATCTTAAAGTAGCCCCAAGGATTATTTGAGCAAAATGTTGTTATTACATTCGAACACTCAACAGTCATGATGGGCCCATACTTTCAAAAAAAAGTCAAGAGATCGCAAGTTCGTCAGCCAATCATTGACGGCCTTTCAAGCAAAATCCACCAATCATAGACTAGAAAATAGAGCGTAATTACTTACGTATACTTAGCGAGTTTTGAAAGTAGGGCGCACATAATTCACGGAATTGCGCACATAATTCACGGAATTGCGCACATAATTCACGGAATTGCGCACATAATTCACGGAATTGCGCACATAATTCACGGAAATTTATGAAGGCCCCTATATACGTTATAGTTACGTCTCGTTACAGTTAGGTGCGCTGCACAATGTTAGGATGTAGGTCATTGCACTCATCAAGTGTGGTAACTTTTGTAAATCAGCCCGCCCTGTACTTCACAAAGTTTAATAGAATTTTTACACATAAGTTAATTATCTTTCAAATGAAAGATAAACCAACAAGAGGCAGAGGGGAGCTGTGAGGAATCTGGCCTACATGTTAGCTTAACCCTAAGAACGCGAATTGTTATCCTGAATTACTAATTCCCTTGAAATTTAAACCAAAAACGTTCCCGAGTCCAGCTCCATCGTCAATTTGAAAATCCTAGGATGCAGATGCAAACGAGATAAACTAGTCGAAATTTGAAACGACAAAATTAAAACCTAATTTCTCACCCTAACCTAAATTGAATCTAACGCTAGTATGTCCTTTCTGGATTGCAATCTCACTAAATCTATAGGCCATTTTCAGAGTACTCTTTTCAGTCTAAGAGTACCAGTCTAAGTACCAGCTTATGAACTTCTGTCCATTTCGATTCAAGTTAGAATAGATGGACTTCAAACATTATTACACTGAGGCTGTCGTATTTTTTCTAAAAAAACTTGCTATGCCCGCTAAATTTGAAATTTTGTACAATATCTTCTAACCCATCTAACCTTGTGTTTACTAAAATCAAGGATTTCGTGACAAAACAAACAGTGCGGTTGTTCCCGAGCGCATTGAACGCAGAACGTTGTCTATAATTCTTTCAAAAAATTCGGCCCTGCATTCAAAACTTTGTCAATAGAATGGAAGCATTTGTTCATGTCAATCTTTGTTTTGTTGGTGAAAATTCTAAGATCGGCTCTTTCTTTAGGTACAACTACCAATATTCATAAGCGATAATTCCTAATTTATAAATTCTAGTGTACGCGGTGGTTTGACGTCACGCAATATTTATTTTAGGGTGGCGGAGCATAAAGGGAAGAGTTATGGGACTGGCCATATACTAATGCGCCCCCTCATGTCGGCTGTGAGCACTCCCGCCGAGCAGTGTGGCCTTCCATATAACATCTGATGACTTTGAGGTTTTAGCTTTCACCTCGGGTATTCCCGATTTGCGTATTTCAGAATCCTTGAATATTTTTAAACTTGAATTCAGCTTTTAGCCTTTATCCACTTAAAATTGCCAAAAGATGGGTTTTGCTTCCTTTTAGTATAGTTCGAGTTTTTTTGTTAGTAGGGGGTAAATTAGGTCTCAATTTCGTCTTTTCGAATTTCGACTGCGTAATCTGCATTCTGGAATTTTCGAACTTTGATGGACCCGAACTCCGTAACGTTTTATATAGAGAAAAGAGTAATTTCTGTGGAATTTTCTCTGCTTTTAAATTTATGATGAAAAGATCAATACAAGGGACTTACCTTTTCTTTGGTTTGTAAATTTTATTTTTTTGGTGCTTGTCACTATGGTGGTGTTCTGGCTCAGTTTCGTCAGGATCAGAGCCTGCAGCAAAAATATAAGGAGTGCGTTAAGGTTACAAAATAACGGGAAGATGAAAAATTATGCCAAGATAAAAAAAGCAAGCTCGCGCAAAAGCAATATCCTAACTCTTGGAAATTTTGGTCCAAAAAATATGGACGTAATTATAAAGACTAATAATTAAACTAGACTTCGCTTGAGGATCGTTTAAGAACGTAAGAAATTTTCAGAAAACAGGGGTCGAAAAAAAATTTGCCAGTTAGGACCAAGCAGCATCAAGGAAATAAATATAAATGAATTTCGAGGAAAGTAAATTCGTAATTCAGAGAGAGAACGGAGGAAATAATTAAGACAAAGTTAATAAAGTAATAAATGCCGTCTGCATGAAAGAGAAAGAGTAAATAAGCATCGAAGGTACAGCGACCGTGAACACAACGCCAATTACTGGATCATTATCCTTAATTCGTCTGTCACAATTTTATTAGGAAACAATAGGGCCAGGAAACTCGATAATTGCAACGTCCAGGGTAACGGAAAATTAAACTGGAATGATGAAATCAGCAGCGGGTAGCTTGCACAGGGTCAATGCAATTCTATTTACTCTGATTACTGACAAAAATTGTTTACCGTTTCGTTGCGAAATATAATTCAACTAATATTTTTACGTCATTTCATTTCGGTTCAATCCCTAATCAATATTATAAATAAAAACAACAAATGGTTTCGACTCTAGAGAATAAAAATAGCTTTTTAATGTTAACTGTTACACGTTACAGGTTTAGGCCTGTAAACTGTTACAGGTTTAAATAACCTGAATGCAGTCATTGGCCCCTGAAATGAGGCTATTCTCAACGCATCCACGTAAATAGTACAAACAATCCAAAGGAGTTCGTTCTCGACGCGGAGAAGAGAGAACCCTCATGCGATTTGCTTGCGTCATCAAACACAGTCACATACCCGTCAGAATTTCTACGTCCAGAGCGAGGCACCGCAACCTAATAAATTGAACCTTTTCTTCTTACTTTTAGAGGGAAGTAGTGGGTGGAGACGAATTTTATGATTCAAACACAATTAAGCTACAACGGCGCGGTAGGTTCTCCGATTTATAGTTTTGAGGCAGGTTACGGATGATTGTGTAAATCAGCATAATAATAAGTGTTCAATGATAAGCTTACCATCAGAAAGAGACATAACAGTAACGAGTCGTTCATCGAGGATCAGTTTAAAGGACCTGCTTCTAGTAACCGAACCGACTATGTGGCAACGGGTTCATCATCAAGTCCAAAGTTTCAGAAGTAGACGTACCGATATTAAACTTGACTTTATGGTGCTTGGAATCGTCCTCGGATGACAAGACGCCCTCCGAGTCGACGCGTTGGCGGCTGGGTCTGCAGGGAGCAGCAAACAGCATTTTACACCGTGACAATATATCCTCTCCCCTCTCATGTTATATTATCTAGCTTTCAATTATATATAATTGCAGTCTCATTATCTCACTACAAAACGCATGTACATCACTATCGAATACGTACGTATTATCTCCCCTAAGCCAGCCGTAGCAGCGGAAAATCGAGAATTCTAGAATTAATAGTAGCTCTTAATGTTATGATCCTACAGAAGCACAATTTTAGGTGTAATGAAAGATTAAATCGATGTTATCATGGAAAATAATTAAAAAACAACGAATAAAATTCTACGAATAATAATTAAAAAACAACGAATAAAATTCTACGAATAAAATAAAATTCTAGGAATAAAATACTTAACAAGCCGTAGCATAAAATATGGTCATACCTGATATTAATATTCAACAGATGATTCAGTGTAAAATTACAATCACAACAGAACATTTAAACGAAATAGCTCCATATTTAGATACAAATAAAATTAAAGTATTGCCACAATGTATAGAATAATATGACAATCAAGTGCTTCTATCACAAAGAGCTCAGTAGGAAAATATTTAGAATTATAATAAAGGTTTCAGAGGAGCGAAGGAAAGCACGAGATGGAAGAGAAGTTCATAGATATGATATAGGCTGCGATAGCGCAGGCCCGAAAATTGAGTGGAAATGAATACGTTTGTATGCGAGTGATAGAGAAATGGAATGAGTGATAACAATCATATGCAAATTACACATTTGTACGTGTTTAAAAATACATTGAAAATACAACAAATGATACTTCAATTTGAAAAAAAAAATCACAGAGGGCAGCTGAAAAAAAGAGCATCACGCGAGTACGAAGATCAACTTGCATGCTGTGCCATTGATCAAGATAAGGATAACCATAGGAATAGAATAATTGCTACACCTGCTGTAATGGCAATAAGAACAGCTGTTGGAACAGAATAATTGCTACATCTGCTGTAACAGCAATAAGAACAGCTGTTGGAACAGAATAATTGCTACATCTGCTGTAACAGCAATAAGAACAGCTGTTGGAACAGAATAATTAATGAAGCTATTCTTTAACAACAAGAATAGAAGTAGGCACATTAATTACACTTCAAATCGAGGAGGTAGAATCAGCAATACTCAAATAAACAAAAATAAATAAATTTCTTGCACAGAACAGCTTCAGCAACGCTTACAACTCGACAGGTGGCATTAATAAATAATAAAGAGATGACATTCAAAGTCCTCAAGTGAAATGATTGCACTGAACAAAACAAATACAGGAACAGACGCGCTGGAGAAGCAGGTAAGTGGCGCCTTCCTCAGAGGCTCGAGCTGCAAGGGAAGGAAACAAAATTTACTTGCTAGGTTAACAGACAAAGGTGAGGACAATCAGCCATCGCATTTTATCAAGGCTCTTTCTTCTAATATTCATAGGGTTTGAAGCGTAGATATTTTTTGTGCCATTATCTAATTACCATGAGCTGAATATAATTCAACCCCTTTACTGCCCAAACAATTTCTCTTACCCCAGGCACAACAAACTGGATAAGCAGGCAGGCCACCAATCATTCTTCTCCAACCATTCATCCATGTAAAATAATGCAATAAGTAGCACTTTACAACAAGTGATGAGCGCATCAGGGTGAGGGCGAGGCAAGGCACAGAAACTTCCGTCACGATTTAAATAAGCACTGACTCCACATAAGAGGGAATAACCACGTGACTGTGATGTATAAAACTAACAGTAGCACAACATAACACAAACAGGAGCAACAGTTCAACAGGAGCAACAGTTCAACAGGAGCAACAGTTCAACAGGAGCAACAGTTCAACAGGAGTATATAACAAACTTGATATGGATGGCCTTGGCAGGACTCATGAGCGGCGTGATCTCGCGGTCGTCGTCGGTCTCATAGTAATCATACACGGGGCCTCCGCCCCTGCCGTAGGGCCCGCGCGAGTCATGGGGCCACTTCTGCTGGGGCTCTTGGTCCTCAACCCAGTTGGGGGGCTTGGGCTGCAGGGGCAAGCCAATCACCAGGTCGCCCCCGCGGGCAGCAAGCAGCCTCCTGCCGCTCTCGTCGTCACTGACACTCTGGCCCAACGCAAGCGGGGCTTCGAGACGTGAAAATTTAGCTGCGGTGGAGTCAGGGGCAGAATCTGGCGTTGAAGTCTTGATTGGAGTTGACGTCTCGACCAGAATTGACTTTACGGGAGTTGACTGCTTGGCGGGGGTTGAAGTCTTGACTGGAGTTGACGTCCCGACCAGAATTGACTTTACGGGAGTTGACTGAACCGCGGGAGTTGACTGCTCCGCGGGAGTTGACTGCTCCGCGGAAGTTGACGGCTTGGCAGGAGTTGACGGGATATCGATGACTACGAAGTCGTCTTGTGGGAGCGTCGCAGCCGCGGGAATCTCAATGATGACGTCGGCAGGAGGCAGGGCAGGCGGCCCTTGTGGCGTCTCGCGCCCCGTGGCGTCTTTTGAAGAACTCCTGTAAATCAAATAAGGATCAAGAGATAACTTTTTCATTACTTCTCTTTTAATCATTAATAAAATACGTAAAATAAGCTAAAGATATGGAAAACGACAAAAAATATCTGGTAGAAACAACGGTCATTAACAACAAATAATATGGGCAAAAAATATAAGTAGAAATTGACAGCATTTACGTTGAAAATAATGCCAGTTTGGTTAGGTTTATCAACCCTACCATGAAATATTGGTTAAACCATCTATGAACAAAATTTTATCTTCAGAAATACTTTTCCAATGAGTCCATTTTCTTTCACCATTCATTTTTCGTGAAAATCATTAACCTACACGCCAAGTTAACCGGAAATGAACTCGAGTGAAACGGAACCTTGAGAACTGCGAGTTTTTATAGTTATAGTCGGAACAGCTCGGCATAGTCAACATAGTTGGCACATTATACATTATACATCACATAACACATCAGACACCACATAACACATTAGACACCACATAACACATCAGAAATCACGTAACACATCAGGCATCACATAACACATTATACATCACATAACACATTAGACATCACATAACACATTATACATCACATAACACATCAGACACCACATAACACATTATACATCACATAACACATCAGACACCACATAATACACCACATAACACATTATACACCACATAACACATTAGACGCCACATAACACATTAGACGCCACATAACACATTAGACGCCACATAACACATTAGACGCCACATAACACATTAGACACCACATAACACATTAGACACCACATAACACATCAGACACCACATAACACATCAGACACCACATAACACATTAGACACCACATAACACATTAGACATCACATAACACATTATACATCACACATAGGACGCTGTGGTCGACATGTGATCGCATCGCCCATAAGACGTACGTCGCCTCGTCGTTCTCCTGCAGGGCGGCGGTGGCGGTGGCGGCGGCGGCGTCCAGTTCACTGCCGCCCACCGCCTGGTCGTCCACGGAGCTCCTGCGCTGCACACAGCCATCAAACAGTTGCAATTCAGCAAATATGGCACGAGCTTCATGCTTTTTTGATTTAATTACAACAAAAACATGCCAATTTAACTGTTGAGTTGTGTCCTTGAAACTAAATAATACATAAGGGATTCTTTGCGATTATTATGCGGTTTCTATCCCTGCCTTGCCATAAGGTTAAGGTTGTGTTAAAAAATATACTGACAGGTGGCGTAGTCACAAGGTTAAAGTTGTGTTAAGAAATATGACGAGCAGAGTAGCGACAAGGTTAAGTTGTGTTAAGAAATATACTGACAGATGGCGTGGTCACAAGGTTAAAGTTGTGTTAAGAAATATGGCGAGCAGAGTAGCGACAAGGTTAAGTTGGGTTAAGAAATATGACGGGTAGCGTGGCGACAAGTTTAAGGCTGGGTTAAGAAATATACTGACGGGTGGCGTGGCGACGGCAGAAGAGGATGAGGATGTGCGGCGTCGGCGTTGATGGCGGCGGTGGTGGTGGTGGTGGTGGGGCATCTTGAGGGGATGGTGCATGTGAGGGAAGCTCTCAGACACGTGCACTGCAATACAAAAACAAATTAGCATGCAAACAACTGCAGTATCGCTTCATGATGAGTAGACGGTACCCAGGCAAAGAAAGAAACTTTTACAACTATCTACACCTATAACTTACTTCTTCGATCGGCGGTTTCAATAAATGAACGCCACCTTTTACAATTGAAACAGAGGCTCTTGGATTCACTTCTAAGTAGCAAGAAAAATTCTCTATTTTGAGTCACTACGGGAAAACATGGATAAGTTCTCATCAGAAATTAAAGGTGCCGCTCAGTGACAAGACAGCACTGAGTTTAGCGATGCAACAAATTCCACGCGAAACAAATTGAAGTATTGCTACAACTCACGACTTTAGAGGAGCGGGACAGCCAAATTTTCTAACCTGTGCAACGGCAACATGAACTTATTCTAATTTAGGAATGGGCGATAAGGGATTTTTGAGAGATACTTGAAATAACTCAAGTTAGACGAATTATGAATATAATAGACATTCTTTCAGCAAATACGACTTCCTATTTAAAATACCCGCCTATGATTGGAAGCAGAACAATACGGGCCTTTCTGAATAACAATAGCAAACCCAAAAGTTAACATAACATTGATAGTCAAAAAACCTATACTCAATTGGCAGATAAAATAAAGTATTTGTAAATAAAAAATTCAAAACTAATTTGAAAGAAAAGTGACCTACAACGTAGACCAAGTGTCACTTGTAAAACCCAGTGACGTGGCATGACGCCCGCCCAGACCAGTGCACCTGCGACGTAACATAACGCCCCTCCAGTGCACCTGGGACGTAACACACAGCACCATACGTTAGATGAGCGCACTCACGTCCAGTGTCTTCGTCGGGATGAGCGATGTATTTGGGGTCACCGACAACGGACGGTCGCCTCTCCTCGCCCTCAAAGCCCGAGGTCCAGACGGTGGCAGGGCAAACTTCAGTCACTGGCTCAGAGGCAGCCCCATCTTCTGCAGGCGGCGACACCTTCACCGTGGGTATCGTGCCAGTCAGATCAGGCAGCAGTGCTGACGTCTCGTTATCGTCTATGTCGTCGAAGAGCTTCTCCATCTGTTCATCTTCGTCGGCCGCCGAGTCTCGTCGCGTGCCCTGGCACACCGCGTGCTAAAACAAACGTTGGTAATGTAATTTCTATAGTAATATGAAATTATTTTCGCTCAGCCCGAGCGAAATCAAACCAGCTAAAAAATTTTAAAATCTCCCACCACGATTACTTAGTTAAATGCGAGGAAAAGCATGTTATTCTCTGATATGGTAATAGGCTTTTGATAATTTCTATTCAAAGTTGCTCTAAAAAATTGGAATCATTAATGAAAATCTTCTATAAAAACTTTGCAATAAACTATAATAACATGGAATATTCATAAATTAAAGAGGCAATTTAATCAATTTGCTTCATCTGATGAACTCAGTATGACGAACTGGCAGCACAAGTCATTACCTCAGCACAAACTGGAATTTGAATGCTAGCCAGCTAACTAAATGATTCTTTCAGCAACTACCTCACTGAGAGTTTCATAAAAAAAAATTAAATTGGAACGTGGAAGGTGGTGAAAAATGATTCCAGAATGGATAGGTTTATAATCCTTAAGACACACACAGTTGCCCTTGTCAGCAATCTATACTAACATGGCAGATCACTTTTAAAACATTAGGACACTTAACAACATGCTCAATAATTCAAATTTGTTCCACTCACCATATCCTGCATGGAGGGAATGGTATCCATGGTTGTGAGGATGGTAGCTCCTGGTTTCTCAGTTATCTGTGTTAGGTAGCAGAGGTTGCTCTGCTTAGTAGCAGAGGTTGCAGTGCTTGGTAGCAGAGGTTGCTCTGCTTAGTAGCAGAGGTTGCAGTGATTGGTTGCAGTCCTTGCTGTGCTTGGTTGCAGTGCTTGCTGTGCTTGGTTGCAGTGCTTGCTGTGCTTGGTTGCAGTGCTTGCTGTGCTTGGTTGCAGTCCTTGCTGTGCTTGGTTGCAGTGCTTGCTGTGCTTGGTTGCAGTGCTTGCAGTGATGATGCACAGAGAATGACTTAGCACACTAGAGTGCTACAATCATGTGCTGTGAGTACAGCTAATACTAGGCTCAACTAATACAAACAAGCTTCTCCAGATATATTTTTACTATAAAATGAACTTTAATGACACGAAAAAAGTTTGTTAAGCAGTGAATAATGATTTATTGGGGGTTAGAAATACTGTGCACAAATTTCTTGATGTACCTATTACTATTAGACAATAAAGTTGCACAGCTGTCACATGAAGATGGAACCTACACATACATAAATATATACTCATACGGTACTCAAAGGATAAGGGTGAAATTTCTTACAGTGGAACAACCACAAACCTGAAAGCAGCTGTGAGCATCAGCATCGTCAGGTGTGCTCTGTAGATCAGTTATGACTGTATCTACAGAGCTTACTATTTCTCCTGCCATGCTACTTTTAATCTGCTGTGATTGTCAGCACATATTTAAGTCTTGCTCAAGCTCCGCTTTTTTTTATTTTTTAAGTTAATATAAGCTTTAATATTGATATTAATTACATACCTGGTATACTACCAATAATACATTTTCCAAAACATATAAACAAAAAGGGTTTAGTTTTACCAATCAACAGCTAAATCATACTGCCGACACTTCTATTCTATTCTTGAGACACACTGTATACGGTATATATATACAGTATAGAGGGCAAAAATAAAAGTACGGTACGGTATGTTGGATGAGACATGAGAGAATTGAGAGATTTGAATTACAATCATGGCTTTTCCTCCTACAAATATATTTTTTTATTCAAACATTTCTCAATTAAGTACAGCTTCATTTTTGCATCATCAAATCAACTTTACCAATAATTTAGAAGCAAAGAAAACAAGAGAAATTCAGCCAATCTTTACTGAGAAACATTGTTTCCAAATGCAGGTTTCCAAACAATGAGGCTGAATGAGCCAAGATGGCAAGATCTAAGTGTTTACATATGCCCTTTTCTATGCTATCCCATTCTGCTCTGCTGTTGCTGTAAACTGTAAAGTGTAAGCCTTCACAATCACAGTAGCTCAGCGCTCAGGCTGATGGCTGAACTGGCCTGAAAGGCTGAACAGTGCAATATGACTGTCTGCGTCTGGACTCAGAGCAATATTAATTTTCACGATACTTGCTTTTACCTTTATCAATTAATTTGATTTGGATTGAAAAGCTGAAAGATATACATGTACGGTGTACCTATTGTAACCTATATATATATATTGGAATGGCATAATTTTTTATAATGTGAACCTTGTTGCAAAAATGCACATAGTATGATGATAGTAGGTACAGTACTTATTGTCCCAAATCATAAATCATTCAGTTTTTTAATACAAAAACTTAATAGCAACATCCACAATTGTTTCTCCTATATAAGCTGTTTAAACCAAAAATATACTATTCCAAATTAGGCACAGATTAGATGCCCTTAAGAAATATACCAAAATCCCTATTGAAGAGAAAATGTGGCTAAGTACCCTGCTATTGAATATTGATGTCTCCATTATCCATCCTTTCCATAGGGCCTAGGCATAGGCACCTCCGCTGCTCCGCACGTGACCTGTCACCATAGCATTAAGCTAGTTTAGCATAGTTCAAGGGTTTTACTCCTACATAAAATATTTGCTCTTATTTCCAACCATTGCATATAGCTATAAACTCCTATTACTATTAGGCAAAAAGCAAGATTGAAAATTTCTTTCTAATCACTGAAGTCTTGTCTTGCACTTGCAGTTTGATTGTAAATTTGTACCTACCTAGCAGGCTAACTACACTTTGACTTTGAATAACATGTAGATGATGTAGCATTATTCAGCCTGGTACCTAGTAGGCTAGTGGTAGGCAAGCATGGAAAACATCTGCCTTTAGGGCGAACTAGAGGTTTCCCGCCATTTCTGAAACCGCGAGATTTCCGTCAGATGAATTACCTCCTATCCAAATGTTAACAAAAGTGCACGATCGAGCCGCGAGATTCCAAATGTATTGAAAATTCGTCATGTTGAAGCCGCGAGATTTCAGAAACAAATAGAAAAATTCCAATCCTGAATAAGGTAGTTGTCCTAGTGGAAGTGGAGCCTACTGATAACCGTGACTCAATATTAGACAATATGATACTCTGCCGTTTCTACGAAATCGGTTTAGAAACCGATGGTCAATCAATGCATGTCATGTGATGCTGTGCAGACTGCGGTGCACAGTCATGTGATCAACTGATCATTGTGATGCTGTGCAGAGTGCAGACAGCATCACATGCATTGATATAATAACCACGCAAAGTCTGAACATCCAGATACTCCATTATACAGGCACATGAATCAATCACAATTAGTTGTTTCTTGATTGAAGGTGAGAAAGTGACCGCACGATAAAATCACGATCGGTTGTTGCCATTTGAATCAGCGCGGTTCTACCGTGATGCAATAACGCTTCCGCAAAGACAAATGTACGCAAAGCCGTTTCCGGGTGAATTTTTCTAAAAATGTATAGCTAATTATCGTTAAAAAGAAAAAAATTCCGCGCTAAATTGATGTTTAGAAGAGTATTTAAGCTTTTTTCACGGTCTGATATGAGGTATTTAATTTATTCTAAAGAATGTCGTACACCTGTGCCCATGCGCACAAATTATCTGCTATTTTCGGTGTAGTTGTTTATCAGGCCACTTTTTAATAAAATGTTTCGTTAGTTCGCGCTCACAGCGTAGTATGGTAAAATCTGTGTTGAAGAATATCATCTCGGACATTTCGGCGATACACGCGGCCGGTCCCACAGCTGGCCTCCAAGATTCAGTGAACATGGTATATCTCCTAAACAAATGAACGCAGCTCGATGGAACTTTGCACATGCATTCATTGGAACCTATCGGTGACATATTATTCAACAGTATGTTTTCCAATATCACCTTTGTTCCCGACTTTAATGGTCACAGTGGACATAAAATAGTGTTGAAACTACTGAAAAGATTAATGTAACATTGGATATACATTCCTGACCACCTAATAGTGATGTTTAGGTCGTGATTATTTTTTCGATTTTACCTTCGTTTCCAAGTTATACGGTCATACGGTCCAAAATTCTCATTGAGCCTAATATCTCTTCCATCATCGTGTACGGATTTTTTTTCGTATAACTTGGATTTACAGACAGATTTTTCACGTAAATTGCATCAACTGCAAGTATTACCGCATCCCTGAAAATGACCATGACTAGCCACATTTATGTCCCTAATACAGTACGAAATATTCGATACGTAGTGGAGTTAAATGAGTTCAAACGATAGCGCTTCCAAGAGGACTTCTCTGTATAACACTTAATTGTGACAAACAATAATTGGAGATGGCTTTTACCCAACAGCGTCTCGTGGCGAAGCTCATTAATTGTTCATTCTTCACAAGAGAGCAATCGGACTAAAATATTTAGTGTCTGTTCACCACTATAATGTGTTGGCTCGGTGACATGCTGGAATAAATGAGAGTCTCTCACAGATTCCATGAGCTGGGGTGATTCACATCCCTTGAAGAGGGTCCATGAGTTCAGTATAGTACTTCTGGATGGTTAAAGTCATCAACGAACAAAGTGTGCGACCTAGTGAAAGTCATGCTCACAATGAAGGGTTATTTGGACCCTCACTCTCAAGCACCGTGAAAAGATCGTTTATTTTATTCAAAACACAATCCGAGTTTGTGTAAAAACATTTTAAACATTTTATCGTGAACTGGGATTATAGAAGCGTTTACGCTAGTTAATCATAATAAATTAAAATGTCATGGAGTTATGCGGTAATTTTTTATTTAGCCTGCAATTGCACAAGAGTCGTCATAGGGCACACACACACAAATATCGATTTTCGAATTCAAATTCAAGCGCTGTTGAGTAGAGAAAAATTCTTTAATCACCAAAGCACTAAAATATTTACTCCATATAGTTGTAATATTTCTAGAGTTGCAATTCGTACAAATTTATATGTCAAAATCGATACCTATTTCGAAAAACTGATCAATAGATTATTTAATTGTCTACTGATCAATTATGACATGAATTTTCCATCAGTGTCTAGCGTGTGCTCCCAAGGATCCTACAAATTTAAAGGGCCTACTTCCTTCCGAATGCCAGTAATGAAACACCTGAACATGAAGTATAGGTTGTACGTATTTTGCAAAGGCAACAGTAAGGCAAAACTTAATTAACATTATTTAATTACTGAAATATCATTAGTGTCGGGAACGGTACGTGGTGTAAGCCAGACTTACTTCTAACCGTTCCTGCGCAACTGACACTGACCAACTAAGCGCGGTATCATCACTACGAAGAATTGGCATACAAGCACTCCAAGCCACATGACCTGAAACTACTTTTTTCTCTCGAGATTGCCTCATCAACTGATAAGATAGCGATGCTGAGAATGGGGCAAGTCATTCGTTTAGCATTCCGATGCTAATTTGCGCTAATAAAGAAAAATGACATGGCTAATGAAGCGACGAATTATTGAATAAATATTTTTTACCGGGTTAAATTATCCGTTATAAATTCAATGATTTGCGTTTAAAAATTAATTTTTAGAGACAACACTAATGAATAATCCAGCGTCTTTGATGATGCAGCTGTACAATGAATTTCTAATTTTATTTTCATATATAAAAAATTAGTTTTCAAATTTTTTTATTTATAAAAATATTGTAAATTTTCAAAATTATTCATTCTGTCAACTGATTCATGCATTGTCTCTGACTTTATGCAAGTGTGCAAAATTTCAGATCGATTGGACAGGTAGTAGTGTGTTATATATGGATTATAAGATCTGTAGCAGACAAAATTATTTTTAAATTCTTTGATATTGAAAAAATGTAATTTTTA